AGTAGGTATAAAAATGTCATAAAATTACAGATTATAGTAAGGCATAAAAATGTCATAGTATAGTAAGGCATAATATGGTATAAAAATGTCATAGTATAGTAAGGCATAAAATGTCATAAAAATGACATAGTATAGTAGGGTATGAAAATGTTATAGTATTGTAAGGTATAAAATGTCATAAAAATGAAATATTAAAGTATGGCATAAAATGTCATAAAATTACAGATTATAGTATGGTATTAAAATGTCATAGTATAGTAAGGCATAAAATGTCATAAAAATGTCGTAGTATAGTAAGGCATAAAATGTCATAAAAATGACATATTAAAGTGTGGCATAAAATGTCATAACATTAAGGATTATAATAGGGTATGAAAACGTCATAGTATAGTAAGGCATAAAATGTCATAAAAATGTCATAGTATAGTAAGGCATAAAATGTCATAAAAATGACATATTAAAGTATGGCATAAAATGTCATAAAATGACAGATTATAGTAAGGTATTAAAATGTCATAGTATAGTAAGGCATAAAATACCATAAACACGTCAGAGTATAATAAGGCATAAAATGTCGTAAAACGGCATAGTATAATTAGGCATAAAATGCCATAAAAATGTCATAGTAAAGTATGGCATAAAATGTCATAAAAATGTCGTAGTATAGTAAGGCATAAAATGTCATAAAAATGACATAGTATAGTAGGGTATGAAAATGTTATAGTATTGTAAGGTATAAAATGTCATAAAAATGAAATATTAAAGTATGGCAAAAAATGTCATAAAATTAAGGATTATAATAGGGTATGAAAACGTCATAGTAAAGTAAGGCATAAAATGTCATAAAAACGTCATAGTATAGTAAGGCATAAAATGTCATAAAAATGACATATTAAAGTGTGGCATAAAATGTCATAAAATTACAGATTATAGTAAGGTGTTAAAATGTCATAGTATAGTAAGGCATAAAATGTCATAAAAATGACATAGTATAGTAGGGTATGAAAATGTTATAGTATTGTAAGGTATAAAATGTCATAAAAATGAAATATTAAAGTATGGCAAAAAATGTCATAAAATTAAGGATTATAATAGGGTATGAAAACGTCATAGTAAAGTAAGGCATAAAATGTCATAAAAACGTCATAGTATAGTAAGGCATAAAATGTCATAAAAATGACATATTAAAGTGTGGCATAAAATGTCATAAAATTACAGATTATAGTAAGGTGTTAAAATGTCATAGTATAGTAAGGCATAAAATGTCATAAAAATGACATATTAAAGTATGGCATAAAATGTCATAAAATTACAGATTATAGTAAGGTATTAAAATGTCATAGTATAGTAAGGCATAAAATGTCATAAAAATGTCATAGTATAGTAAGGCATAAAATGTCATAAAAATGACATATTAAAGTATGGCATAAAATGTCATAAAATTACAGATTATAGTAAGGTATTAAAATGTCATAGTATAGTAAGGCATAA